TGGACCACACACTGAAGCTTTAAAGCTGGGAATTCAGATGTAAATTTTATTGTATTCTCATCATTTGTAGATTTCTCTATTTCTCTTAACAGTCATTCCCACTTCATTATCAGCTGATTGAGGCACAAGCAAAGGAAAATTCTACCATAAATGTGTTCCTACATGTATTTTCTCTGTGGCTGAAGTGAGGAGATGCCATACTCTTGTTGGTGTAATTTTGTAATTTCCTTCATCTAATTAGCTTGTACCAATCCTAATTTAATGTATGATCCATAACTTTTTAAAGGGTTATGGTCCGTCAACTAAGACTAACAAATCAGTATGAATGTATCTAAAATATTTATCAATTTTCACCTAATATATCAGTTTAACTAAGCTGATTATTACATCTCAGAAATGGATATTACATTAAAGGACAGTCATTTCAATTTATCTGGCCAGTCATGCAAAGTTTATGTTCCCTGAATATTCATTGATCTCTAGTAATATAATTTCAAATTATTCTTTATTCTAAGAATTAGGAGAATGTAATATCAGCCCAAATAAACTCTATTTGCCGTGAATAGTGAAATGCTAAATAATTTAACCCGGGAAAGTTTTGAATAAAATGATTGGCCCTGATATCAATATAAGAAATTGTATTGGTAATACCTGCTTGTGGAGTTGTGTTCTACCTTTTAAGATTTGTAGTTTACTTTATTCAGCAATCAGAATTATAGGATAATGAGTGATATATGTACTATTTTTTTCCTGGTTCTCGAAATTGCAGAACAACTACAAGGTGCATCAAGTTCACAACAACTGCAAGGTGCATCAAGTTCACAGACACTGCAAACATCACATCAAAGTACATGTGAAACTCTGGAGTAAGTTATGATAATATTTTTCACCTTTAATACTATCAGCTTGATTAGTAGATTAAGACTGAGACTCACTCGCAAATAAAACATTATTTAATATCACTGTAACTAAAGGTGCATGTGAAATATCATACTTGAACTATAACGTTTCAAATTAGGAGACAGGGAAAATGAATGCCTGTTGCACTCTACCCGTCCAGGATAATAAAAGCGATTTTTTTTTTGTGTGTGTGTTTGGCTTAATGCATGTAGCCATTGGCTGGGATGTTTTGCTGCAACCCCCCCCCCCCCCCTTGTTGTCAGAACATTTTTATTTGTTTGATTTGATAAGGTTTTATTCGAATATTCAACACTACAGCTGGAGGCTGATGCATGTGAATTTTCAAGGTAAAAATAATTCCATAGACATATATATATAATTATATGCTTTAACCCTTTTAAATGAATCCAGATATAAACAATACATAGTACATAAATCATAAATAATGAAAACAATAATAATGTTGAGTTCGGTTTGCATACTTGGATATGAAATAAATGGAAAATCAAAGGGTATAAGATCAGATATATACAGTTTGAGAGTCGGTGCAGGACATCTTGATAATGTATTAAGAGAAAAATTATTATTGATCATTAAAAGATTGAAACTAAATGATTAAACTGTAACATTTACATGAAGTATATATACAAAAATAAATCGATAAAATACAATTATTAAATATTGTTATGTATGATCTTTATGAATACGTGATGTAAAACCCGGTTGAAAACATAAAATTACATTTATTAAATTACATTTATTGAAATAACATTAATAATTATTGCATTGATCAACTTGCATTTATCAAAGTTAAATTTAAAAAGTCAGATAGTATACATTGTCCTTCTGAGTTGCATGGATTGGCAATGAGAATATCTTTTTTAATAATTTATCGGATCAAAATTGCATTTAACTAAATTATATCTCTGAAAGTTACATTTCTTTTCTCAAAATAAAATTCTTAAAAACTGCATTTTATCAAAGTTATATTTATTAAAATCATATTTATCAAACTATATTCATAAAATTACATACAAATTCAAATAGAGGTTTAGGATTAAAGAGCTAGACCTATATGAGGAGGTCGGGATTCCTATTTAGTAAACGAACAATTGATGGGATACTAGAATTGTAATATCTTGTGGTCCTGCATTTTGGTTCATGAAGAAGATGTGAGTTGCGTAACTGCCTTCCAGACGGTGATCGTCGGGACTTTGGAAGAAAGTCACGATGGCGAGCTGACGTGAGAAGGTCACGTGCAAAGGAGAGGAGAAGACCTTCTCGTCGTGAGTGGAGAGAATCAAGACGGAGGTGATCCAAAGCACCGCGGTAGGAGTCATACCCACCAAGGATGACTCGACAGACCCTTTTCTGCACACGTTCAATGTCATTGGATTGAGCAGTGGTCAGTGACGAGGACCAGACAGGTGATGCGTATTTAAGTACAGGTCTGATGTATTAGCATAAATAGCAACCAAATCAGAGGTCGGGAGTCTACATTTTCTGAGGCGATATACGATGTAGAGACGTCTGCTAGCCTTCGAAACCATCGCTGAAACATTGGTGTCCCATTTTAAGTCGGCTTGAAGATGGACACCAAGTAACGTGAGGTGGTCGACCACGGATAAGCTGGTATCAGCGACTTAGAGCTTAGGAAACTGCACTTGCTTTACGAACGAGATATTCATGACACAACATTTAGTAGGGTTGGGTTTCATGTCATTCGACTCACACCACTAGACAAGACTATCAAGTTGAAGTTGGACAGTAGAGGGCTCATTCGCTCGGCGGATTTCTACTACACTGAGGTCATCCACATATTTCCACCTGTGGTTGAATTCACTCAACGCATCATTAAAGAGAAGGTTGAGTTCTGGGAAGAGGTGAAAAATAATTTGTGAGCGTTATCATTCTTATTATGCAAGTATGAAAGAACATCAGATAAGACATGTTCCCTGAAAAGCATGGCTCTTCAAATGCCTTCATATTCTAAACATGGCATGTAACATCGTAACAATCCAGGGTAGGATTTTTACGCCGCGTGTTCGTGTAGTCCCATATACATCTTTCTGTGTACAGTGTTTGTAACTTTACCAAGACTTGGCCAAATTTATTATTATTTTGATGATTCCAGAACCTTGCAATACACACAAATTCTTATACGCTAGATGATCAACCTTTTCTGGTCGATTCCACACCGTTTCTTTCACAATGCAATCGCATGACCAGAACTCAACTTCATCTTTAAAGGTAATACAAAGTTTTGGGAATTTTGACAATTGGTTGGATAGTGAATCTTTACAATTTTGATATATTTGGAGGCTCCTGTGGATGTATTATAAGCACTGAAAAAATTAGCCCCTAAAACACTTCTGTTTTCGAGATAAATTGAATATAAAAAATTACCGGTGCTCCCGGTAAATCTTGATAAATTTCAAATAGCGCCTATGGCCGTACAATGGTAGCTGCGACCATGAAAATCTCAGAATATGTAGTTGAGATATATCATTTCCAAACGGAAATAGCTAATCGGTCGATTTTAGTCAAGAAACATTGTTTCATAGCTAAATTAATATCTTGACCTTGAGAGGGAGCTATACAACTTAAAGAGTTTATTATTTATAATTTCATAACTTTAGACTCGATTTCAACCGCGACAACGATCAATGTTTATTGTAGGAACGCATATGCTTCCAATATGTTTATTTGAACCAAATTCATGACCCCACACCAAAACTTTGTAATACCTTTAATCATGACAAGAAAAATCACGGGACCTAATTTTGTGCCCTGTGGGACTCCGCATGTAACTCCCAGATCACAAGATATGCTCGAACCAACTCTAACTGCCTGTTTGCGCTCATTCAAAAAACTACAAATCGCTGGTATCAGTGCAGGTTGTACTCCGTAGTTGATTAACTTTCCAATGACAACATTGTGATTCACGTTATCAAACGCCTTTGCGAAGTCGATCGCGCACAAAGATGCACAGTGGCCAGGTCTGTCTATACTATTTATGATTGTGTCAAGAAGGCTGATGAGTTAATGTGACGTGGAGCTGCCAGCAACATTACCAAACTGCTTCTGGTCAATACCAGGTAAGAGGTCGCGAGTAACCCATCTACAGATGAATGTTTCCATCACGCTTGAGAATATTGCGGTGATGGAGATGGGCCGTAAGCTTTGAATACAGTTGCGCCAGGAGCTTGCACTGTTGTTGAGCTCTGTGATTTCGTTGAATTTTTCTTGATAGTTTTAGGAATAGTGTTCTGAATTCATCAGCAGTCTTTTAAGTATCACTCCACGATCCAGCTAGATCATTTTTGTGATGGATTTAGATGTTTGGAACACCTACAGTTTTGATTTATGTTTTCTTCATGTTCCTGTATGAGCCCATGGTCAACCATTACAGTGCTTGATGCACATAGTATTCATGTCCATGACAATTATGTTCTCTACTATTGTTAGACTAGAACATGAATAGACAGCCATGGCTAGCATCGGCATGGTGACTACTGTTGTGAGTCTCCTGATCCTATTAGCTTCTATTGTGATAATGCCTACAATCACCTACACCAGAGAAGACCTTTTGTCTTTTCAACCCAAGTGTGCTGATCTCAGGATACCACTAAATACCTATCACATATTACAGGACTATGGCATATGTTCAGTGAAACCAACTCATCGTGGACATCGTGTACATCATTCTTCATGTCGTGTTTCTGACTTTAGAAACTTAATATCAGTAATACCTACTAAACTCTCGGCAAAGATGTGTACATTGAACGCTAGATCAGTAAGGAATAAGACTACCGATATCGTTGAATTTGTACTTGATAATGATTTTGACATCCTCGCATTGACCGAGACATGGTTGAAGGATGACGATGATGTTATTTTGGGAAACTGTATACCTGAGGGATATACCTTTAATCATAAGGATCGACAAGGAAAAGGAGGAGGTGGTGTCGGACTGTTGTTCAAATGTTCACTGTCGGTCAAGTTAGAAGCTGTACAACATTTCATGTCATTTGAAGCTTATGAAGCCCGAGTTTCATGCCAATGCCGTTCACTTATTCTCCTTGTCATTTATCGCCCAGATATAGTGGAAGAGCAAGGCCAGCGAATACCTTATAGCCTGTTCCTTGAAGAGTTTGCTACCCTACTTGACTCATTTGTTCTTGATCCCTCCGAAGTTGTCCTGACAGGGGACTTCAATGTATGGGTCGACGATTTCAATGACGTACGGGCAAGGCAGTTTATGAACATACTTTCATCCTACGGAATGAAGCAGCTTGTACGAGAAGGGACTCATCTACATGGCCACACACTTGATTTGCTTATTACTCGGGATTCAGCCACTCTTGTTTCTGATGTATCTGTTATCCTTGGAGTATCTGATCACCACGCTGTCCAGTGTAACCTTGATTTAAGAAAGCCGTCTACTTCTCGCAGGACTGTCACAACTCGCCCTCTACGATCAATGAACAGAGAACAATTCCGATCTGGAGTCCATGAATCTTTGTCAGAAATTGACATTGAGGATAGCAGCATCTCTTCGTCTGTCGAAAGATATGATCTCTCTCTCACTAGTCTTCTTGATAAGCTAGCACCTCAAAAGACTAGAAGTGTTATCATCAAACCTTCGAGTCCATGGATGACTGAGAAAATCCATGCTGCTAAGTGCCTTAGAAGACGCCTTGAGCGCAAGTGGAGGCGTACTAGAAGTGAAGAAGACTGCAAATCATATGTGACACAGCGTCAGGTTGTTTCCCAAGAAATTGAAAAGGCAAAAACTGAATACTATTCAGAGTGTGTTGCAGAATGCGAAGGAAACCAAAGACGTCTCTTCACTGTAGTAGACGCTCTGCTGCATCGAAAGAAGGAAACTGTTCTTCCGGGTGCTTCTTCTGACCAAATACTGGCTGATAACTTTTGTCATTATTTCTTCAACAAGGTCACCAAGATCCGTGATGACATTGATGTCGAGCTTTCGTCAGGACAGTGTGTACAGCATGATGAGTCATCATCTGTTCCAGTTTTGACTGATTTCGCTAAAACTTCTATTAGTGAGATCAAGAGGGTTGTCATGAATTCTCCAACATCATCATGTGAGTTAGATCCAATTCCTACTGCTCTTCTAAAAGAATGCATTGACGACTTTGCACCATATATTACAGACTTTGTTAACCCATATCCTGCCATGAGGCTGCATGCACGCTACCTATTGAGTGCCATGTGCGTGCAAGGGCGCATTCGTAGTAGGAGTTATTGTTCATGCTCAGGCTGTGCTGTGTGTTATGCAGTCGCCATTCATAGAAACATCGCGTTAATCAGATTATCTCCAAAACAATCTGGCACAGTGGGGATTAGCCCTGTGGCACGATAAGAGTTAATAAGTCTCTTCGATGTGCAAGCTTTCCAGCCTCAATGCAACGTACTCTTGTGAAGCCTCTCTTGAAAAAACCGAATCTTGACAGACAAGACTTTGCAAGTTATCGACCTGTGGCAAATCTAAGCTTCCTATCGAAGGTTATCGAACGCATAGTATCCGCTCGTCTTCAGTCCTTCTTGAATGACAATAACCTTCAAGACAACTTCCAATCAGCCTACAGAGAAAAACACAGTGTTGAAACTGCCCTCTTACGAGTGCAAAATGATATCCACACCGAAATGGATAGTGGAAAAGTAACTGGGCGAATTCTGCTCGATCTGAGTAGTGCATTTGACACGGTCGACCATGTTATACTCCTAGAGAGACTTCAGTTTATGGGCATTGGTGGACAGGCTCACCAGTGGTTAACATCTTATCTCTCAAACAGATCGCAAAGGGTTTGTGTACGCAGTGCTGTCTCTAAGACAGTTCATCTTGGCTTCTCTGTGCCTCAGGGATCGGTACTTGGGCCACAACTCTTCAACATTTACACTCTTCCCCTTCATGATATCATCAAGAGGCATAATCTCAAGCACCATATGTATGCTGATGACACGCAGATATACTTTTCGTGTTCTCCCACACAAGGGGAAGTTGATGCCTGGATTGCTCGTATTGAAGCCTGTATAAGTGACATTAGGAATTGGATGAAGGAGATTTACTTGAAGCTCAATGACGACAAATCTCAGTTTGTTATGCTGGGTTCCAAGCAGCAACTCGCCAAGTCGGTAACCCCCTATCTGAATATTGGTTCGTCATCAATTACTCCAGTGAAGAAAGTTCGAAATCTTGGAGTTATTTTTTACTCCAATATGACCATGGGGTCGCAAGTATGATCAAGTGTTAAACTTGCGATCCACAGTCTCCGCAATCTTCGTGCTATTCGCTAGTATCTCACCACAAAGGCGGCTGAGCAGCTTGTGCATGCATTTGTTACATCCCGCATCGATTGTTGTAACTCTTTACTCTATGGCATCCCTATGTCTCAAGTTAAGAGGCTCCAGGTTGTTCAGAATGCTGCTGCTCGTCTCGTGACATATACACGCAAGTTCGCCCACATCACTCCAGTCCTTAAACCCCTGCATTGGCTTCCTGTTGAACATCGTCTCACCTACAAAAATCCTTCTGATCACATACCGTGCCTTGAAGTTCTCCTCGCCACAGTACATCTCTTCTCTACTCAACTTTCGCAAGCCTGGTCGTTCTGGTCTGCGTTCTGCCAATACATCAACTCTGATCATCCCTAAGACCAGACGATCATGGGAAGATCGAGCATTTGCCTCAGCAGCTCCCCGATTGTGGAACAGTCTCCCTAACACACTTAAGGACTGTAAATCAGTAGATAGTTTCAAGGCCAGCCTGAAAACTTATCTAATGGCCAACTTTAACTAATATCATCTTCTTCCTTTTTTATGTGTAATGTGTAATGTATTGTAAGTAAAATTGTATTTAAGTATATTATGTAGCACGATCATTGTAAGCGCCTTGAGCACCCTCTGGGTGGATATGTCGCGCTGTAAAAATGTCTTTAGTATGTAAGTCTGATAGTTGTGAAACTTGCTGTTTCTTCGGAATAGGAGTGATAACTGCTCGTTTCCAACTCGAAGGGTAGTTCCCAGTGTGAAGAATGGCATTGAATATCACCGAGAGGGGTTCCGAGAGTTCCATTGCAAACTCCTTGATAAGTTTGATTGGAATATCGCCCGGTGCCGCTGCCTTGGATGCATTCAGCCGACGTAAGACGTTATACACTTGATGGGCATGAATAATCGGTGGTGGTAAGGGTGTAAGATAAGATGGTAGAGATGCCCAGTCCAGTGATGGGAGCTGGTTACAGATGTTAGCGAAGTGTTCATTCACCCTGGCAGCTTACTGCGAGTCGTTATGCCTAAGGCAGGGTGGAAGGGTTAGCGAAGACTTGGTAACTCCAACCATGCAACGAATTTGCCGATGCCATTGGGAAGGTTCACTTTGTTTCAACATTTGAACCTTCCGAGTGTAGAAAGATGCCTTGCTTTTTGCTATATCTCTCGCTGAACTAAATTCCTTACGGTACGAAACCTGTCCAAGTTCCCGGAATCGTACGCTCGTTGCCTATATTCTCGATGAGGGCTCGGATGTGACGCGTGATCCATGGTTTGTCATATTTTGCTCGTTTAGATGCGACTAATGGGAAGTGTTCATGATACGCCTGGATGAGTACTTCCTGAAAGGCCTCTGCCATTTCATCCGTAGTAGCATCAATAGTGCAGCGGCTTAGCAAGAAAATTGTGCACTTTTTGAGAAAAGCATGAAACTTCTAGCATAGTTAGTTTAGACCATAAGATTTATTTTCAGATGTGGAGGGAAGTCAGATTTGACCTCTGATGACCCTGAGAGGTCAAATCCAAAATGGCCGCCAGTCCGCATGGTCTAATTGTACAAACACGCTTAACTTTTGAACCAAATAGTCGAAAAAAATACTCAAGGTGTCATTTCCAACTAACTTGGGGATGCCAATTCATTTGGTAACACTTTTGAGATCGCCAGAACTCAGGGTTTTGCCTGTAGGTCAAGGTCAAGGTCAAAGTTAACTAAAAAATAGCAAGTTTGTAATGGTTACAAATAGTTTTCCCATTTATTTGTCATTTGTTCTCCCCTATGTTCTCAAATTTCTTTAGGAATGGTTCCCCTGCATAGTCCCCCACCTTAATCCCTTTCAGTTAGTTTATTTCACAGTTTGATTTGACCTCTGATGACCCTGAGAGGTCAAATCCAAAATGGCCACCAGTCCGCATGGTCTAATGTACAAATGCGGGTAACTTTTGAACCAATTAAATAGTCCAGAAAAACGTTTAAGGTGTCATTTACAACTAAATTTGGGATGCCAATTCATTTAGTAATACTTTTGAGATCGCCAGAACTCAGGGATTTTTTGTTGTTGTTGTAAACTTTGCCTCCATGTTGACACTTAACGAGTCATTATTTTAAAAATAATGGAAAGACCCATGTACCACCACTTTGACTATCCAGGGCCACATTTCATAGAGCTGCTTATCGACCGGTTCTGTGCTTACGTTTAAGTTTCTCCTTCATAGCACTGCTAACCGTAAGCACACGAAAATGCATTAACTTTAATGAATTGTCTAACAATGCAAATCCACTGTGAACGCGCAAGGTGGACGCCTTGTTTTCTTGCTAACCTGCTTAAGCAAATATGTCTGCTACAGTTAGCACTAAAATTTGCTTACCGGTAAGCAGCTTTTTGAAATTGGGCCCAGAAGAACAAAACCTGTTCATATCCACATTAATTTAGCAAGGTCCACAACTTATGAATATCCTAATGGTAACGATCAAAATCTAACAGTCTCAAAAACAAGAGCACAGTGCAGTGCACTTGAGTACAGCTTTGACACACTTGCAACATCGATCAAGTGCACCCTTTCTTGCAGCGACAATGTATCAATTCATGGCATGATATTTATACCTCCGGGGGAGTGGTCCAAAGAGGCTGCCACCCAGTTGTTACGTTTGTCCAGCCCAAGTCAGATGACTCTGGCATCTCTGGATTATTGGCCAATGTCTAGTTCCAACAGTAAGTTGGCCTGGTAGCAAGTGCGCTTGATGTGCTGCTTGAGTGCTGCCTGGGTTGGAGGAAGGTTCTCCAGGTTTCTAGACTTCTGTGCGAAGAGCTGTTTCCTGGCATCATTCACTACCATGCTCTCACTGGTTCGGTCGTACATCAGCATCACAAATCGCTCTAGCAGTAATATTAGTCCTTCACTGACCTCACTAGCCATGCACAGGGGTTCACTGAGAAAATCATTCACCTCTGGGAAAGACTTCCAAGTTTCCCAGGCAGTCTTCTTTCCTCTGAATGCAGAAACAATGTCACACCCGGTGAACGCATGAAATAATGAGAGAGTCATACACTGTGTCGGACTCATGGTGGCAACCATTTTGTGAAAAGCTAGGTACCGAAAACTTGATCTGACACCAAAAGCGATCCACAGCTCATCAGGATAGCTGTCTTTCTGAATGAAGCCACGGTCAGTACAACCGCATCAGTACCAACAGTACGTATGGTTACCTTTTTACACCCTTTTTGCACAGCATCTGCCACATGCAGAAGACCAGAAGTAGACGAGTGTCAGCCTCCTCGTGCAAGCATGGGGCAAGGCCTGCCAAGTGTGACTCAGCAGGAGAGCAGAGTACTCCACTTCTGTTGCATACAGTTCCTTGCCCTGTGGTACAGAAAGATGAACGGTTTCGCGTGACAGCTAGGAAAGCAAAAAATTCGGTTTTGTTTTCATTGACTCGAAGGAAGTCCTTCCCTTTTTTTTGGCAGCCCAGTAGAAGCTAGAGCCACCATTTTTCTAGTGCCCTTTCCCTTTTCCTGTCTTGTTTTGGCATTCAGGCAAGCAGGTAAGTATTCACCATAACCAAGATCGATGCGGAGGCTTTTCTCGAGTTGAGCAAAGATGTATGGGGCAAACATTCTTTCTCCATACTCTTGAAATGTTCTTGATGTTCCAGGATTGAGCATTTGAACCACAGCTGCACCATCAAGAACTATTGCTTGGGAAACAGGTGCACTAATGTTTTCGTGCCGATTTGATTCCAGGCAGCAAAGTCGATCTGCTTTAACTGGCGGGGCTGCCTCCTTTTCATGGGAGAAGAAATTGTCCATATTTCCATCCCGTGTCTCACACGAGATGTACATCCTCGAAAAGAGACCACAGTTACTCTTAAGTGCTGCGAGCTGTGCCATTACATTGACATAACCTGTGACAGATGTCGTACAGTGCTCTAGCCTTTCTGTCATAAACTTTGTGTACTGCTCCTCACCTAGGCCTGGTCTCAATCCTAATTCTCCCCGTTTCAGCCACTTGGGTGTCCATGATATGTCACTTGTGCCAATAACTAGTACGTCTTGACTTTGTTCTAGAAATGGATTCTCCATCTCTTTCAGTACTGTCACAAGTGCCTTAACATCCCTCAGGAATACTGCCTGCACTCCAGGTTGCTGGTCATGGTGATGTTGTCGAGTGTTAGCAGAACCGTTATTTTGCTTTATGGCCTGTTCCTCAAACTTTGTAGTCATCCTTTAAATTACTTAGAACCAAATAAAACACAAAGTAACTTAAAGAACAATTTACCAGACTATTATTGAGCAGTAATGGAAAGGAGCAGTTTTCCTGACTTGAACTGAGGTGTTTGCCGTATACTGCCTAGCTGCCCATTGACCATGCTATGCAAAGGGTCATGTAGTTGCAAGACAAATAATGGTTTGGTGCTATAATTAGTGAAATAAACTAACTGGAAGGGATTAAGTTGGGGGCCTATGCAGTGGAACCATTCCTAAAGAAATTTGAGAACATACGGGTGAACAAATAGCAAATAAATGGGAAAACTTTTCGAAAATATTCAAAACTTGCTATTTTTGGGTTAATTTTGACCTTGCCCTTGACCTACATGCAAAACCCTGAGTTCTGGCGAACTCAAAAGTGTTACCAAATGAATTGGCATCCGCAATTTAGTTGGAAGTGACACCTTAAATGTTTTTTCTGAACTATTTGTTTCAAAAGTTATAAGCGTGTTTGTTCAATCAGACCATCCGGAGTTCCGGACTGGCGACCATTTTGGATTTGACCTCTCAGGGTCATCAGAGGTCAAATCTGACTTCCATCTACATCTGAAAATAAATCTTATGGTCTAAACTAACTATGCTAGAAGTTTCATGCTTTTCTTAAAAAGTGCACAATTTGTCATTATATGGGAGCTTATCCGCTGTACTACAATGTGATGTAACCAATCAAACTTATAGGCCGTTATCCATCTCCCAAAGGATCTAATG